ATAACAAATTATACAACAAGCATGCCGATTTGATCCTAATCACGTTTAATCTATCCATCTATATAATAACTTGGCTTTACGTAAGTTAAAGCAAAATTTAATATGACGTGAGATTCAGTAAATGTTTTGTCTCGCGGAATATAAATTGATAATTATAAATTATGAATTTACTCTTATTTAAAATACATTATTTTGTATTGAAATCTTTGAAAGTTTATTTTTAATTTAATTCTAATTTAATACAAGTATTGTTAATATATTTTTTCATTTACATTATTTATTGAATTTATTATTACTCATACTATTATATTTGATGAATTGTCTAGATACAATATCTAGTATTTAGAATTTATATCATAACAATTTACGTAATATTGCTGATTATGCGAGAAATTTATTATCTCGCTTGAATCTCACGTCATTCATTTTGAATCTTTTACATCGTTCTCACGTAATTCAAGCACTGAGAAAAAGATTTCTTTAGATTTAGCAATTCTATTTGTTTGACTTGAAGTTATTTAACTTAAACAACGTAATTTTATATTAAAATTTAGTTTGTTGAATTAAGAATTTTGTTGTTTTGTTAGAATATACTACGATGTTTAATAAAAAAACATTATTATTTAAAGGAAATAAAATTTATTTTTGAACTAAATAATATTTTGTTTGGCTAGATTAAATATTGTTTCAATGAAAGAAAGAGATTCTTTAATAAAACATAATTCTTTGTTAAAACATAAATAAAGAGCGTTATTATTTTACAAACAATTTATTAAATAAATATTTTATTTAAAATAAAGCTACTTATTATTTGAAAAATTGAATTTGTAGAATTAATAATTTATTTGGACTATTTCAAAAGATAAATTTTTTTGAATCTAATAAAATTTATTAAATCTAAAGAAATCATTCTCTTTGTGTGGTGACAGTTAAATAAATGGTTTCGATCGTAAATAATACAAACGTGAATAATACGAATCATATGGGCCTTAGATTTTTTCTCATTGAACATATTTTTCTTTGAATATATATTAATTATATAGATCACAATATTTTTCTATTTTTATTTTTTATCGCAATACTTTTATTATTCAATTTTCTTAAATTCTTTTTATCATAATGTAATTGAATTTTTTTATTTTAAATCGAAGATTAATCACATGTACAAAAAACGCGATATTATTATATGAGCTTCAAAAATTTCATATAAATTTTAGAAGATTTTACCATAAATTTCATATTTTATTAATATTGAATGGCCTTCGCGACCGACACGATTGTATGACCGTTATGCGCGCGTCGAACAAAGAATCTGCCGGCATAATTAGCCGGTAATTGAAGGAGTACCTCCTTTCTTATTTCTGGCTATATGTGGCCAGAAGTTCTGGCTATGTGACTAAATCGACGATGGAGCAACGTGGCCAGGAACAGCGAAAGGTAGGTCCAATCTGGCCTGAAGAATCACAAAAGATTAATCAATAATATATATATAGAGAGAGAAACTAAAAATAAGTAAGTAATTAATAATAGTAATTTAATAATAGTAATTTTTATACGTGCGATTGCACGTAATTGGGGGGGAATGATAAAGTGCTTTCTATATCTGCACTATAGGTAGTACTGTACTATAGGTAGTACTATCTGTAGATAGTACTACAGTATCTATAGCATTATGAAAATTCGGGTGGGTAAGAATTCGGGTGGGAAACAATTAAAACAATAAGGAAATGTTATAAAAATTAAATATTCTATGATGATTTTATTTAAATAAATTTATTATAAAATGATATTTACAATTACATTTTTTCATATGATTATATAATTACATTTAAATGTAATTATGAAAAATTAACAAATTAAATTAGAAATTAATAAAATAAATTAATTAAAAATAATACGGGTAGGTAGGAATATTAAAAAATTCGGGTAGAACAATGGTTTAAGAATTTGTTTAATTTAATAATTTAAAAACTTATTGTAAATGTGTTTAAAAGATTAATTGTAAAAAGAACAAAATATAATAAATAACATTTGATTGGTATTTTAAACGCCTAATCTATTTATTATATTCTATTCTTTAAATATTTTCGATTTAAAAATATAAAATATAAAAGCGCTGTATTTATTTGTACATAATTATATATTTTTTATTTTTTTTATATTTTATTATTACATAAAATGATTTTCAATATAATATATGATATTATATAAAATATAATATAACATGGTAAATAAAAATAAAAATATATAATTATTATATTATTGATTGAATTTTGTATTCTATCCTATATCTTGCGGAAAGTTTTGTATTTTTATCTTATTGTATTATATTATTGTGTTATAATGTTTTTTTCTTTCGTATTAAACTTTTGTATTTTTATTATATTTTTATTGAATATTATTCAATTATGTTCTATATTGTAATAATTTTTTTTATATTGCATAAAAATAATAAATATAAGAAAATTTAAAATATGTATATAAAGAAAAGAGGACCGCCAAGAAATGAAATTGGCGGGGGTGGCGGAGGGCCTCTACAAATTGATCTGTTTCTAAAAACGTAAGAAAAGTTATAGCATAGAAGATTGTTGTAACTAACGAGATTTGTCAGAATTGTGAAAAAAATCAGTACGACACTTTTCCATTTTGTGAAACAAGGACGGATACAGATTGATCGTCCCTTTTTATTTAATTGTCAGTCCTGCATATAGCATGGAACAAAACCACAAAATCCTGGACATAGCACGAATGAGAACCACGCAATCATGGACATTACCTACAGGATCATGGATATTGGCTACATAGTTTAATGTCCACGTTTTTATGAACATAGAGGCGCTTTAAAATAAAGTGCAGCTAAGTCCCGGTCTACAATAGGTGATTTAAGCCTTAAATCATAAGAAATGGACGAATCATAGTCAAAGAATAGGAGAATAATCGATTATGATTGGTCAATTTCTTATGACTTAAGACTTAAATCACCTATTGTAGCTCGGGACTAAATCACGGGCATGTCCGCTCTCAGGCTTCTCTCTGCTACAGGAGAAGGAGAGAAAGAAGAAGATTGTTCTTCTTTTTGTGTACGAATTTCTTATACCGATTACACCATAATCAATTCAGTGTATTTGAAAATGCTACAGTTTTATTTCTCAGTCAATGTATTTCAGTTCTTTGATTACGTAATTACATGTTTGCATATTCTAATCGATCATATTACATTGTAGATAACGAGGAGCAGATAATCCAATCTTATAACCTTTGCATAGATTGATAAACTTAGGCAGTAGCATATAGTTCAATTTCTAATACGAACATTTAAAAGTAATTTAATGAGATAAATGCAACAAAATCTGAATGGCAAAATAAGAAAAATGAGAATAAAAAAACTGGAAAGATTTGTATTTTAATGCTTTATTACAAAAAGTTAAACAATTTTCTTAACAATAATCGTGTTATATTGACAATTGCAGTAGTAGCTTTATTGCAAAAATTTTAGTGAACAGTGTTATTGCAACTGTAACAACATGGGAGGTGGAGATTTGGTGAGTAATTGATTAAAAAGAAAGAGAGAATTAGAAAACAAAATTATGTAAAGTGTTTGCCATATCTTTTCATTAATAAACATAAAATCCTTTAAAGAATTTGAAGAAATCATGGCATCCATCAACCATGAAAAATATGGAGAAAGTAAGAAAAGCTGAACAGCAGAATAATCAAGAGAATAAAAGGATAGCCGAGTTAAAGAAGCAAATTGAAATGGAAAAAGATCGGGAAGATATAAAAAAGTATGCTATGGAACAAGGTGTAATAGAAAATAAAGATAATAAGAAATTGGATTGGATGTACAAAGGACCTAATCAAATGGTCAATAGAGAAGAATATTTGTTAGGAAGGCCAGTTGACAAGGCTTTTGAACAAATGCAGCAGGCGGAAAAAGATGCAGAGTTTAATAGAATGCCAAAGAATCATGTCGAATATGGTAAATAAAAGATGTATGAATTATACAATATATATTATATAACAGTTATGATATAACAGTTGGATTGCAATTATTCAAATCTTTATATTTTATATCTTTTGTTGTACCTACAAGTTATAATCTAACATATTTCTATATATAATTAGTAATATATAGTTTTTATAGATTATAAATTTATATATATATTTATTTATTGAAATTATTATATATTATATATCATATACAGCATTAATTTGTGATTAATATTGTATATAATATACAATATTATAGAGACTGATCTTAATAATTTTGAAATATACTTATCACTGAATACATTTGCAAAATTTTAGTCAACTCTAATTATTTATTAAAAAATTATTAATAAAGAAAGTTTGAAAAGTATAAGAAGTTTGAAAAGTATAAGAATTTATATCAGTACTGAAAGATATAATTAAGATATAATTACACGCGTGTGTAGTTTAATGTATTATGTGTGTATTTAATATATTATTAAACATTTTATATATTTTTTTTTATTTGATAGAATGCATTCCACCTTCACTGCGATTTTTCTCTGGTAATGAACAAGTGGATCTGGCTAGAAAAATACAAGAGGATCCTCTATATGCTATAAGGAAGAAAGAAATAGAAAGTAGGAATCAACTTTTGAAAAATCCTGTTAAACTGAAACAACTTAAAGAATTGGTAAATGGATATTGATATACTTGCTTTTTTATACTTTGAATCATATGTTTATTTTTACAAACACACAGACACAAAGTGTCTCATAATTAATGGTACATTGCTTGTGCATAGACAAATGATAAGATATCTTATGTATGGCTCATAGTACAGTGCATGTTCCTAAATATCTCGTCATTTCTAGCAATCGCGAACGCACTGGGTGATTGTATTTTACTATGTGTTCGTTGATGAATCGATATATACTTATTTAGCGATTTTTATTAATTAACAATTCATTACTTGCGAATTAATTACGAAAATTATAAAATAAAAAGGTAAAGAACTTTTCTCAGTTGTATTCACTGTATCTGTATATGAATTATGTACCTTAAAGACACTTTGTGTGTACACGCGCGTCTACGCTTACGCTCACACACACACGCAATGCGCACGCGCATGTATATTTATATTTATGCAATTATTTATTTCTTTTATAGCTAGAGCAGCAATCGTCAAAAAGTAAAAGCGAAAAGAAAAAAAGAAATCGAGACAAAAGAATAGTAGCGAAGATGAAACGAAATTAGATATGTTGTTAGCTACCAAATATAAACAGTTAAAAGATAATATTAGTGAAAAAAACTTGTTAAAATCGATGAAAAAAATAAAACATAATCGAATAAAAAAGTCAAAAAAACATTGCCATGATTCTGATAGTGAAACGTCAGACAGTTCTGAGGACACTTCTGTTAAGAAAAAACACAGACGGCGAAAAAAGCGAAAGAGAAGTACAAGTGATAATGATGATGACGCTATTGATAACAGTAGTAGCGAAAGTATTGTCAAATATGAAAAGGAAAGTAAAAGAAAGGCATATGATAGGAAACATTCGACAGATGATATGAAGCTAGACGACAGTAAAAAACAAGTTAGGAAAGAAAATTAAGCGAAGATAGAAGCGAGAGAAGCAAAAAGTACAGAGAAGAATATAAACATAATACAAATAATAAACAGAAGCAATATGAAGATAATAAGGAAAGAAGTAATTCAAAGAATAAATATGATGATAGAAGAATATATTCACCGAAGAAACAAACTGATACAATGGTGAGTGAGAAGGCTTTAATTTCTAATAATGCAAAATTAATTTTATAAATTAACTAAATAAGAGATAATTCAAAATGAAAAATGTACATAAGTATATGTTGTATTAAAATGGATTTTTGTATCATTTAAAAAGAAAAAAATATTGTCTTTAATATATATTTGATAAAGATGAAAATTTAGTTTTGTGTAATAATATTGGTATATATAATATGTGGGTTAAGATATTTGATTTTACAGATATATACTAATAAAAAAATGTCGGTAATTAAATCTGACATCGATTATAAATTAAAAAATAAAAAAGAAGAAGGATATCAATCAAAAGCAAGATCAAGTTTTACAGAGGAGGAAAAAGAACAACGGCGAAAAGAAATGATGGCAAATGCAGTGTGGCGTGATAAAGAAAGAGAGAAAAATGTACAAATCTATCGTGAGCAAGAAAAGAAGGAAGAGCACAATACATCGTATAATAAGGATTTTATCAGGTACATTATTAAACATTATTTTGCATTTATATACACACATATATATATATATATATATATATATATATATATATATATATATTTGTAACTTAGTGAAATAATGTGAATTGGATTTAAATTGGATATTTGTTATAGGAAACAATTGATTGTTGCAACAGAAATGGGTACGATCGCATCTAGAATCAAAGCAAACATTAACAACATACAACGATCTGATCGAGCCATGGATACAAATTTTGCTAAAAGATGATTTTTATCTGTGATCATATATATATTTTGTACAATTACACAATACTGGAATTTTCATACGAAAATTATATACATAAAAATGTTTTGAAAATTATACTATACATATAATACATATGCATGTATGTACAAAATATCTTATTTTAATTTTTTTCATTAAAAATTTCTTGAAAAGTAAGACTTCTACCTAAAAAAAAATTTGTATAAAGATTTCATGATTTTCGAGAATGTGTTGCCATACTAGTGTCAATTTTCAATATACATCGAAAATGGCCCATTTTTATTGAAAATTATTTTTTAATAGTCGTTATTTTTTCTCCATCAATCCTGACGAATTTCATAATCATAAAAGAAAACTCCAGAAGTAATTGAATATCAATATTATCAGCTATTGATATAAATTTTGATTTTGATAAATATTTAAATAACATTAATTCATAATTTTTTATACAAATACTTTATAAATAAATATGCATATTCGACGCTACGATGTCATAGAACATAGAATTGAATATGTATATAGAATTTATCAAAAATGAAAACCTCTTAATATTTTAGAAAATAAGCATTTTCAAAAAAAAAAGTATTTTATGTAAAAGTTGTAAGTCTTCTGAATCCTTTTTTATTTATAAAAGTGCTTTTAAAGATGGATTATAAGCCTTCTGGTTAATCGTAAGCCACTTTTAGAGAAACTTATTGATAAAAGTGGATTTAGAATAGTGAACTATAAGGTTTTGAAAAAAATCACATGATTATGATAGTGATTGATTCGCAGATGACGCCAGTGTCAAGATTTATTATGGTCGCCACTTTTTTAAATGGATTTTGTATTTTTTGTTACGTAATATAGACCTATTGTCTTTAATATTTTTATAATTTTCATCTTGTTTTAAAATATACGATTGACTCCTTGGATGCCAGTGCTTTCCAAATTCAAGCGTGGTGTGTAGTTACGTCACGAAATCTTTTCCTCGCGTTTGTTTTCTGTTGTCCTTTCACATAGGCTCAATTACAATATAACCTACTGTATTTGTAAACGCACATTGCAGGAGGTTGTAAAAAAACTTATTTTTTTATAAAGAGAAAGATTTTTAAAATTGCGGTCATTGTATATTTTTAAGTAAAAGAAAAAAATTCGAGGACATTAAACTGAATTAAAAAAAAAATTATTTAATTCAGTTAAATATGAAATATAAAATATATTAAATATTTTAGGTTAGTGAGAGTGACCTAAGTTTCATACGTATTTATCGTTTTAATGTATCAAAAATAACATAGACTTTATATGACTTTCAATGATAAAATACTATCCGAAGTATACTAATGATAGAATCTATATTGAAAATTTAAAACAATATGAATTCATATAAAGCATAAAATGAAAATTCCATATTTCCATATTTAGTACATTTTGGGATGATATGTGTGTATACATATCTATATAAGAAATTATCCTTAGGTGTCATTGAAATAAAAATAGCTTCTTCAGTATTTTAAATAAAATGGCTACATCGTCGACATTGCCTGGAGCAAAGAGGTTTGTTACTTATCATATTAACAAAAACAATCGATATAAATAAAAATTTTTAATGAAGATTATTAATATTATTTATTACAGAAATACACAGATCAGAAATATAAGGCAAGGCAGCATATTAGATATTGATGCTGATATGTTTCTTAAGATATCTAATTATGAGGACACTCTTAAACAATTAGATATATATTATGGAATTGTTAAAAGACAATTGTTACGTTATCAGAGCTGCATAACCGGCTTGTTTCCGCAGATTTCGAGCGATCGGAAGATCGGTAGCGTACGTGAAAGCATATATTGTGCAGTTGCAATATGGAGTTTGTATCAAGCATATAGACGTATCGATGACGATCGTGGAAAATCATATGAATTAGGACAATCTGCAATAAAATGCATGCGAGGTATTTTAGAATGTTGGATAAAGCAATCCTCTAGAGTAGAACTTTTTAAGAAAAATCAATGTGATCGTTATGCGTTACATTGCAAGTTCCACTTGGATACAGGTGATACAGTTTACGAGGATGCCAACTATCATCATTTACAAGTAAATATTTAATAATTACTACGATATATAGTTTTGCAAAATATTAGTAATAATTTTATGGAACATAATGGCGTAAATTTATATTTAAATTTATTGATACATATAATAATACATATAATATTTACATACATATAATGTTTAATACATATAATATTTATACATATAATATTTAAATACATATAATATTTAAATTTATTGATACATATAATAATATACATTAACATATCTTTATTGCTGTTATAATTAAATATTATAATATTTATGTTAAATATATTATGACAATAAAATATTTACTTAATTATTACAAATCTATCCCATATAGATCGACATTGTGTCTCTTTACTTGATATTCTTAGTACAAATGATTTCCTCTGGACTACAAATTATATACACACAAGATGAAGTGGCTTTTGTACAAAATCTGGTATATTATGTCGAAAGAGCGTACCGTACACCAGATTATGGTATGTGGGAACGGGGAAGTAGATATAATGATGGAACACCTGAAATTCATGCCAGTTCCATCGGGATTGCCAAGAGTGCATTGGAAGCGATTAATGGCTGTAACTTATTTGGTGAAAAAGGTGCATCATGGTCTGTGATATACGTTGATATAGATGCCCATAATCGCAATCGTAGTATTTTTGAAACAATGCTTCCAAGAGAATCTAGCTCGAAAGTAAGTAATTTCAATTATGAAAGATAAGATTTAGATAAATTTTTATAAGAAATAAATGATTTTTAGAGTGTAGATGCGGCTTTGCTGCCAACGATATCCTTTCCTGCTTTTGCAACTCACGAAGATGTGCTGTACAATGAAACAAAAACTAACATAATTCGCAGACTAAAAGGCAATTATGGCTTTAAACGATTTGGAAGAGATGGTTATAAGACAGTATTAGAGGATAAACAGCGGCGGTATTACAAACCTGGAGAGATTAAGGTTTTGAAACATATGCATTATTATAACACATTCAATGCATAAATGTTGTAATTGATTTTTTTTAAATTAACTTATAAATTTTTCAATTTTAACCATGTAACTGATAGTTTTTTTTTCTTCAATAGGATTTCGATAATATCGAATGTGAATGGCCAATATTTTACATCTTTATGATAATAGATGGTGTATTTAAGAGTTTATCAGAACAAGTGGAAGAATATCAAAATTTATTGAAAGCGAGAGTGCACAAGGATTTAAATGGAGGTTCATGATAAATATTTTACCATTAATTTCATTAAAATAATGTAAACAATGTCTTGTAAATTTTTGATAATTGTAAATTATACAAGTAATATTTATTCTCTGTTATATAGACCCTGTAATTCCCATGTATTATTATGTACCCATGGAAAATTTAGAAACTGAAAGAAATGAACCAGGCAGCGCTTATCGGCTACCTAGCAATGAAGGAAGAAGCCTGAGGTCTGCGGATCAAGAAGCTGTTCCAATATACTTGTGGAATCAAGCTATGTTCGTGATAGCACAGTTACTCACTTCTGGTCTTTTGCATATCAACGAACTAGATCTGATTCGTCGATATCTTCCATCATATAATCGTCCACGACGAACAGGAAGATATTCTGCTTTCCAGGTAAAAGAAAAAAATGTATTCAAGTGTATTTAAACATTCACTTTATATATTTTAGAAAAAATATATATATTAATCAATTATTTTGATATGACTTGTATAATCATGGCTAATTTTAAAAATAAAAAAAATGATTTTCTGCTCTGAAAGAAAGAAGGAGAAAAGAGGAGGGAGAAAAAAACAAAAAATTAAGTGACATATTAAATAATATTTTAAAATAAATTATGTGTACTGATTCATAATTTGGAGAATATTTTTTTAAAATAGTTAACTTTTATAGTTTATGATTGAAAATTAATAATTTTTTATTGTGTTCTACACAGGCAAAACCTACTATAGTAAGTAATTTAAAATATATGCTTGCTATTGACACAATACAATGTATATAATGAAACATTAGTGTTTTTGCTTTTATTTCTTGCATTGTCCAAGAAGTTTGTTATATTTCAATATCTTAGCATGCAATTTTGTAAAAAAATACTTAATATCCAATTTTCGTTTGCAATTTGTAATTCATCTCATTTCTTCCTGTCATAAATTTATATAGAATTCTGTATATTTTAGAAGATTCTTATTTTTGTTACATAGTGTTTTAAAAAAGTCCTCATAATATATGTGTTATATGTGATTTACAAGTATTATTATTCTTTTTTATACCAGGGTACTCATACTGATTTAGTAGTACAAATAGTTCTGATCGCAGAATCTATGCGATTGCAAGCAATGATGGCCACATATGGTATTCAGACACAAACACCTCACGAAGTTGAACCCGTTCAAATTCTGTCGTCCACTCAGCTAGTGAAGGTTTATCAAAAATTAGGAGTAAACAAGAAGCTAAATCTCCAAGGACGACCTGCACGACCTATAGGTTCCTTAGGTACAAGCAAGGTCTGTACTTTATTTTGTACTTTTTTTTTAAATAAAAATGAAAAATATATGCTATATATAATAACTAATAGACGAATTTTCCTATATGTATAGGTGTATAGAGTCTGTGGTATGACAGTGCTTTGTTATCCTTTGATCTTTGAAGTATCTGAATTTTATTTATATAGAGACATGGCTCTGTTAATTGATGATATTAAAACGGAATTACAATTCGTGGGCAAGTACTGGCGTCTTTCTGGTCGTCCCACTGTATGTCTTTTAATACGAGAGGAACATATGCGGTAAGCTTGCATATTTATGAGTTTGTTACGGAAATTAGAGGATTTATTTTGGCAAAAATTTGTTTAGAGATCCGCAATTTAAAAAGATGTTAGACCTTTTTGCGATGTTGAAAAAAGGTTACTGCGATAAGACGAAAGTACGCATTGGCCGACTGCAAAATTTGATTTCATCATCTTGCATTGGTAATATGTCATATAATCTTGACTTAAAAGATAAAACTCATGAGACACTAATTCAACAAATTTTACAAGTTTAACACGGTTTTGAATGAAGATTTTTAATTATTTTTTTTTTTTAATTTTTAATGATGTTAAAATAGAATGATTAACTTAGATAATAATATCTATTTTTTATTATTAAAAAAGATAAAAAAAGATAAAAATTATATCTATTGAGTTATATTTTCTTTAATTGAACTGTTCTTTTACACATTACGTGAATTTTAAAATTATTCAATTTATATTATTTACATACAGAACACTTAGACTTCGTAAATACTCTGGAAACAGATCTGGATTTGACACAGTTTAGACAATTGCAGCACGATTATATTGGTTATCAAAGTCTCACGGATGTTCCAAAAGCCATCGCTTATTCTGAAGACATCAAGGATTATTCTGTACGAAATTATTAAAGACAACACTTAATTCTCTAATCAAATAAAAATATCTGTAACTGGCAACCGGTAATCTATTTTTCAGTATATGTTAAATGAACCTCTTGGCAACATATTAAACGAACTTCGTAATAGTGTCGGTTTATATGCCAAATGTCAATTATATGATATTCTAATAAAACGAGAAGGAATTAATTACGAAATCAATGGGGTGACAGGTATTTTATATTGTTTTCTTTCTTTTTTCGATTTTTATTTTTCGTTTATAATTTTTTTCCTACAATCATACATTTTTATTTTAGTTCACGATAACCTGAGATTGTTATATCAACAAGCTGGGTCTTTAAGATTCTGGATGGCTGTACGCTATTGCAGCAGCCTGTTAAATCATACGGTAGATAGCATCAGTCCTTTTATCACAGGTGTACTAGTCAAGGGAAAACAGGTATTAAAATAAATGTAATATAAACTAAAAATAAACAAAACTAAATAAAAAACTAAATCTATTTCTTCAATTTTTGAAATTAATGATATCAGATCGCAGTGGGAGTGATTGGACAGAAAGAAACGGTATTTGATAAACCCATGACACCGGCGGAAATACAGTCAGTGATGTATTCTACAATACAGCCGCACAACGTGGTACAAGCTGTACTCCAACAAGAAATTCTATTGTATTGCGGTAGACTTATCGGTACTAATCCAGAAATGTTCAAAGGCATATTAAAAATACGCATCGGGTAGGACATCGCTTTTCAATAATTCGCTTCATCCTTTCCTTAATTCTTATGTAATATAACATTTAACTACTATTTAAACATTTAGATGGGTCTTGGAGGCGATGAAACTTTACTTACAAATGTTTGTAAAAGACGCCAAGCCGATCGAAAATTATAGTCCTTACGAAGTCCGACAATTTCTTATCAAAGTATTGACTGTCAAGGAATGGGCTCATGAGGAAAAGTATGTTAACCAATAAAATTAACTTTTGAATAAATTTAATGTTCGTATTAATATATTAATATGTTATCTTGTATTAATAGTCTGACAGTGCTCGCCCGCCGAAAAATTGAAGGTTGTTTGTGCAGAGTGCCAGCACACTTCTACAATCAAGTATGGGAAATTCTGGTACGTTGTCCTGGCGGTATTGTAATAAGCGGACGAGAATTACTTCAACAAACTGTTGTGTCCAGCATGACTCGTTCCGAGCTTACATTTGCCTTACTTGTGGAATCTTTGCTGCATCATCTACAGGTACCAGAGTATCGTCAGATTATAGTTGAAGTAAGTAGATAATTTTTATCATATTCTCTTGTTTCTTTTTATTTATAGGCTCAAAATATTAAATTTACATAATTTACAATAAAGTTGAGTATAATATACAATTGTAAGAGAAAAATTAATGATATTATCGGAAAAATTAAAAATTAATATACAGCAATATATGCTGAAGAAAATAAAATAAAAGTAAAATATATAAAATATGAATATGTAGTCATTACAGCAACAAACTAATATTTATTTTATATAGAGAAATAGTACAAAACTTCTTCTAACTTCTTCTAATTGTAGTAATTGTAATAATTACAGCTTATGAGTATTATGTCAACTATTTTGCTTCGAAACCCAGAATTGAGTTTTCAAAAACAGTTAAATCTTAATCAACTTGTGGAAGATAGTTTTATCATGTATTGTAAGGTAACATATATGTACATATATTATACAAGAGTTATATTTCTTTCCTTCTAATTCTTCCTTCTAATTTTATATATTTGTTACATGTTACGTGTTTGTAGGATCACAATATATTGAATGTTAATGACAAATCATCATTCTTCTCCGAAAATTATTCAGTGACTATGGGATATCTTGCTAGAGCCATAGTCAACAATGTTCTTACTGGTGGCTGTGTGACAACTATTGTGGATTCTGGTGATGTCATTGAATCACCCCGAGAAATGTGTAAAATTACATAACAAATTGAATTGATCGTTATAGGAATTAGATCTGAGAGATTATTATTTAGCATTACTAAGTAAATATTATCTATATATGTGTGCCATATATTTCGCCGTATATATGATATTACTGACGACATATAAATGTAATATATAAATAT